GCTTACTTGGTTCACCACCACTAGTGAATCGCACTTGGCTTCAATGACTTCTGCTCCCAAGCCTTTAGCTAGTTCGAGACCTGCAATCATGGCCTCGTACTCGGCCTCATTATTAGTCAACCTAGAAGTTTTGATAAAACCTGTAGGCGGTTTTAAGACAATGCCGAGCCCGAACCCCACATTCGAGGCACCATCTGTGAAAAGGGTCCATACCCCCGATGATGTACCCGAACTCAATAGGAGTTCTTTCTCCGCTTCGGGTACGAGGGTCGGCGTAAAATTTGCCACGAAGTCGGCTAGGATTTGCTATTTGATGGTCATTCGGGGTTGATACTCGATATCGTACCCGCTAAGTTCCACGGCCCATTTAGCCAATCGGCCCGATAGCTCGGGCTTATGCAAAACATTTCGAAGGGGGTAAGTGGTTAATACACATATAGGATGACATTGAAAATATGGTTTTAGCTTTCTAGATGAGCTTATCAACTCAAGTGCTAATTTTTCTAAGTGAAGGTTTCTAGTTTCAGCGTCTCCTAGAGTCCGTCTTACATAATAAATAGGGAATTGCGTACCTTGCTCTTCTCGAACTAGTACACCACATACCGCTATCTCGGATATTTCCAAGTATAGGTAAAGTTTTTCGTCCACCTTCGGGGTGTGAAGCAGAGGCAGGCTCGACAGGTATCGCTTTAATTCTTCTAAGGCTTGCTGACATTCCGGGGTCCATGCGAAAACCTTTTTTCTTTTTGAGCAAGGAAAAGAACCGGTGACTACGATCTGACGACCTCGAAATGAACCGACCTAGGGCAAAAATTCGTCCTGTTAGCCTTTGTACTTCCTTCACGCTATCCACGACCGTGATATCCTCGATGGCCTTGATTTTATCAGGGTTAATTTTGATACCCCGATTCGACACCATGAAGTCAAGGAACTTACCCGAGCCAACTCCGAAGGCACATTTCTCCGGGTTAAGCTTCATGTTGTATTTTCTCAAAATTTTGAAATCAAATGAGTCAAATGTTCCTCTGCGCGCAGGGAATTAACCAACATATCATCAATGTAAACTTCCATTGTTTTACCTATTTGTTCGTCGAACATTTTGTTGACTAGGAGTTGATACATAGCTCCCGTATTTTTTAGCTCGAAGGGCATTACGTTGTAACAATAAGTTCTAAATTTAGTAATAAACGAAGTCTTTTCCCGGTCCTCCGGGTTCATCTGAATCTAATTATACCCGGAGCAGGCGTCGAGGAAAGTTAGAATCTCGTGGCCAGCCGTGGCATCAGTCATACGATCGATGTTAGGCAGTGGGAAAGAATCTTTCGGACATGCTTTGTTCAAGTCCTTATAGTCTACACACATTCTAAGTTTATTTCCTTTTAGGAACCACAACTACATTAGCTAACCATTCGGGGTACTTTACCTCCCGAATAAACCCTATTTTAAGAAGTTTGGTTACCTCGTCCTTTATGAAAACATGTTTCACCTTGGACTGGGGCCTCCTTTTTTGATTTACCGTTTTGAACCTAGGGTCGATGCTTAGCCGATGTGTGGTGATTCCGGTGGAATCCCTGTCATATCTAAATGGGACCAAGCAAAGCAATCCATATTATCAATAAGAAATTGAATGAGTTTTTTCCTGAGTTCGGGGGTTAGTCCCAGGTATACCTTTCTCCCGGGCATGTATTCGATCAGTATGACCTGCTCCAGTTCCTCAACAGTTGATTTGGTTGCATCAGACTCTTCGGGAACGATGAAGGTTCGAGGAGTAAAGAAGTCCTCTTCTTCGGCTTTGATTACCTGTTGCTCTGATTCCGTCGAGGCTGGGAGCGGTGATTGCTATTTAGCCGCCTACTTATCTTTGGTGTTCGATTTCTCCGAGGTCGAAGGCTCTGGTATCGGCACCACTTCCTCGACAGCAAATATCTCTTTCGCAGCATGTTGTTCTCCGTAGACTGTTTTCACTCCTTCTTCTGTCGGGAACTTCATCATCTGGTGAAGAGTTGAAGGCATGACCCTCTTGTTGTGTATCCATGGTCTCCCGAGGAGTGCATTATACCTCATGTCGCCTTCGATGACATGGAATTTCATGTTCTGTATGGTTCCGACTACGTTTACTGGTAGGATTATCTCCCCTTTTATTGTTTCGCTTACCATATTGAAGCCATTTAGGACTCGGGATGCAGGTACAATCTGATCTTATAGGCTGAGTTGTTCCACGACCCTCGATATGATTATGTTTGCCGAGCTACCTGGATCCACTAGAACATGCTTAACTTGAATCTTATTTAAAAGAATAGAGATTACCAGGGCGTCGTTGTGCGGTTGGGATACACCTTCTACTTCTTCATCATAGAAAGATAGGACGTCCTCGGGCACATAGCTCCGAGTCCGTTTTTCTCTGGTGATTGATACCTTGGTGCATTTGAACACAGGTCCTTGTGGGATGTTGACATCGCCAACGATCATGTGGATTACATGTTGTGGTTCTTCCTGCTCATTTTTTCTTGCATCTCTTTCCCTGATATGGTTTTTAGCTCGATCACTGAGGAATTCTCGAAGATGACCCTCGTTGAATAGCCAAGCTACCTCCTCCCTTAGTTGCCTGCAATCTTCGGTTCTATGGCCATGTGTGCCATGATACTTACACATTAAATTTGGATTTCTCTGAGAAGGATCGGTTTGGATTGGCCTGGGCCACCTGGTATCTTTGATTCTTCCAATAGCTGACACGATCCCTGATGCGTCTACACTGAAATTATACTCTGACAATCAAGGTGCCTCCGCGGGATCGGTGTGTTTATCGAACCCGCTCTTACTTATGATTCCCCGAGAGCTCTGTCCTCAATTATTTTTCTGATCATTCCGAGTAGCGTTACGGCCTGAACCATTGTTTCTCCGGTCAACATACGGCTGATATCGTTCTTTGTTTGGCCTCGATTCCCTGTCTGTATCCCTCGGGGGCATGGCTGCCGATTTGTTAGGATGAACTGCACCCGAGGGGGCTCCTAACTGGTCGTCCTCGACCCTAATCTTTGATTGATAACGGTTATGCACATCGGACCACGTCACGGCTGGATACTCGATCAAATTCTGCTTAACTGTCGAGATGCAATGGAACTCTTTTCATTCAAACCCTGCATGAAAGCTTGAACAACCTAGTCATCGGAGACCAGTGGTAATTCCATTCCTCCATCTGAAACCTGGACACGAACTCTCTCAACATTGCGTCGTTCCTTTGTTTTATCTTGAATACATCTGACTTCCTCGTTGCCACCTTTATGGCCCCGGCATGTGCTTTCACGAAGTCATCTGCCAACATAGCAAACGAGTCAATAGAGTTAGGAGGCAAGTTGTGATACCAAATCATGGATCCTTTCGACAAAGTTTCTCCAAATTTTTTCAACAACACGGACTCAATCTCGTCATCATTAAGGTCGTTTCCTTTAATCCCATAAGTGTATGAAGTAATATGCTCGTTAGGGTCGGTTGTCCCGTTATATTTGGGTATATCGGGCATGCAAAACTTTTTAGTGATGGGCATCAGAGCCGCACTCTGAGGGAATGGTTTTTGTATGAACTTTTTTGCATCTAAACCTTTCAAAACTAGAGGTGCCCCGGTGTCTGGTCAACACGAGAGTTATAATCTCCACCTTCTTATCATTGTCCTCAATCTTCTTTTTCCCGGACTCGATCCTCTTGGTAAGCTCTTCGAGCATCCTCATAATGGTGGGGTCAGTCCTCGAGTCATTTTCGTTCGACCTCTTTGGCGCTGGTTCAGCACGCCGAGTGTTTTCTGGTTCAGCTACACTCAGAGTTTTATTCTAACTTTAAAGTTGAGCGATGGCGATCTGCTGAGCTTGCAGCATCTCGAACATCACTTGGACCCTGACTCCCCCATCTTCTATACCTGGTGTTCCTTGGCCCCCATATCAGGCTTCCCTGCCTACACTCCCTCCGGGGTCTGCGCCTAAATCTGCATTTAAAGCAATGTGCGAACTAACGTCAACTGGTCCAGATTTGGCACTTCCCCAGGGTTTATTGGTGGTACACCCACCCCTGCATTGTTGTTTTCCCCATGAAATTCAAGACCTTCATTGTCATGAATAGGTGTATTTTGCGAGTTTGACATATTTATCCTGAGAATCAGAAAATCTTGACAAGAAAAAGTGTAAAAATAACGTGTGTAATGAGAATCAGTAAAGAAATAATCACTATTATCTTTAGCCCCACGGTGGGCGCCAAACTGTTTACCTCGAAAATACGAGTAACAATTAAATTTGATTTGTGGTTTTAAAGATATGTGAATAGTTCAATACCAATTAGTAATCAAGAAATATGAAGTAGAAATGAAAGAAATAAGTGAATCAAACCAATGTTACTCAGCAGTGGTGACTTCGAGCTTAGTGACTTCGAGATGAACTAAAAGCAATAAAGTAAGAACAATAAATGTAAGGACACTTCTGACGAGCAGTAAGAGAGAAAACTAGGATAGTATATTCTTTTGCCAATGATTAAATCCTGTTAAATGATTGGGGTCTATATAATAGGGGAACCCTAAATAAGGTACATTTCTATTTACAGTAAGGAATATTATTGGCACAGCTGTCTAACTGCCTAGTACGAAATCGTACATCACGCTTAAATGTGACTACCCAATGTCATTTTTGGTTGTGGCATCCTTTACTTTTGACCAGACAAAGAAGTTCAGAGGACACGATACCCCAACCCCATCCCCCATCCCCCACCCCGAAAAGAAGGGCAAGTTTCATTAATACCACTGTCAATTTTAAGGATATCTTAAGATAACTGCTTGATATGTGCATGTACCATCTCTTTATTAAGGAGCGCCCTTGCCCCTAAATATAAGACTTATCGGCGTGAATCTGAACTTAAATCTCCAAAAACGGGTTACCGGACACCGGGAGAGAAAAAAAAAAAATGGTAGCGGCTATAGTATCAAAACATTCATAGGTTTTGACCATGTGAATCAAGCAAACTACATCTAAAGGAAACATTTTCGAAGTCTTGTTTACTTGTAACAGATATATGCATCCTTAAACTAATCCAAAAAGAGAACCTCTGAGTATGTTCTCCAAAAACTGAACCAAAACCAAATGTAAATGCCAGGCAACCGACACTAAGCAACACCTCTTTTAGAAGCAGAAACCAATCCTCAACCTGAATAAATAAATATTAATGTCAGTAAACCCCTGATGTGCATTTTCCTTGGACAATATCCAAGACTCCAATATTGCAACTCCACACATCGGTCAAATCAGCCATAATTGATCCAAAATACTTGCAGATTGGCTAATTTGGCAGTCAGACGCTCTATTTGAGAGTTGAAAGTTGAAACCATCAGTCAAATGAGCAGCAGCAAACCAACTAGTAGCCTAAAGAGTGTTCTTTTAGACAATCAATTTTACAATATTTTCCTACCTACTTCAGGCTAATGCATATATTGCCTGTTAAAGGGGGGAAAATGAAAGACAATGAAAAATACAGAAGCCACCACGATGCATTTACGCAAGTTATGAGATGGTTGACACGTAGAAGCATCATAAAGTTATGGACACCAAGAACATGAGGGATGGCCCAAGTAACCATTGAAGATCCATCAAATTGCCCGTTGGCATTTCTTTCCTCTTGACTGCTATCCTGATTCTATTGCTAATAGCTATCAATTCAGCTATCAAGAGCACCAAGTGCTTTCATGTCCTCCAAGAATGCTGTATACGAGTCATCAATGCTTTGAGGTTTTGGTGCAGATGCGCTAGTTGATTCATGCTTGACAACAGCTGGAGTTACTGCTGGCTGGTTGACAATAATCGTGTTCAATGACTTTGGTTTGGGTTTTGGAACTGCAGATTCTCTCCTAACACGCACAGAGGCAGGAACCTGCACAAAAACAAATAAATAATCAGGATAGTAGCACAGAATCAATACTCCCGGTTCAATTTCTTTTTCTTTTTGTTTTCCCTTTTGGATATGGTTATCTAGTGCAGATCATAATTTTGGGTATCTGTGTTCCAATTTCTAGTTTATGGAAAAGGATACCTATAATTTTATTTCATCTCTACATTAGAGCGGATGATGTAATAATGCTCAAGAAAGTGAAAGAATAAATCAAGTCTATCTTGATTTTCACCATTGGAATTTATTTATTTTTATCATGTCTTGAGGACATACAAGTCAAGAATAAATCAAGTCATCTTTGTTCTAATGTATTTTTTATAACAGTGTTCTAACCAGCTAGGGAATATCTCACTATTTCACCATGTACCGGCTACCTCCCACTGCACATGTACCGCATCACTCTACTCACTAAGGCTTAGGCAGATGGGAAGGAAATCACCTACAGTTTTTTGTCTCTATTGGGATTTGAACCATGGTCTCCCATGGTTTACCCACTTTATTTGAGGCTAGGCCACACCCTTAGGTGCCTGCCTCATTGTTGACGATTTTGGAATTAGAAAATAACTCGTCGACGAATCATGTTGATGAATGTTTCTGCCATGATAAACAAATCCTCCATGCATCTCTTTCTCAATTTACTTTTACTTTGCAGCCAAAAAAATTGATAACCTTAGAAAAGTTCATTTTAAACATCTTTCCGATCACTCAATAATTCGAAATCATTTAAAAATTCAATTAGGCATTGCGATATTTCCGTTGTCAAATCAACTTTCTAACAATTATATGAATGTTTTCTCCAACTACTACTACAATAATATCTAAACCAAATTACTTTTTAGTTCGACGCTAAATCGCTAATGGGACAGTCAGAGCAATTATCTCACTTACTGCAAATATTTTGCACCTAGAGAAATTATACTTGCCCAAGAATGTTTTGGGTATATTAGTTTTAATCATGCCTTAAACCAAGTGATGGATTAAATTATAGAAAGTTATCAACAACCAAATTATGGAAAAGGGTTTGAGTCAGCTCGTAATTCCCTCTTGCAGTCTAGTCAGAGGAAAAGCAATATGACCTAATCCAGTCCAGTCTACCAAATGAGCCTAAAACTACATTTAGATGTTTGCCTAATGAAAGTTCAAGACCACAAAAATTAAATATAAGCAAGAATTTGAAATGTTATCAGAGTAACTAACCATAGCTGTAAGTTCTGGTGTATGCTGAGCTAGAGGCCTCTTAACAACAGTTGAAGCAGCTGATTTAACATATGATGGCTTCTGAGTGGCAAGTGGTCTGGCACCATCTGGTAGATAAGGAGGAGGACCAGGCGGAAGTGGTGGTCTCATCATTGGTGGAGGACCAGGAGGAGGTCCGAAAGGTGGTCTTGGCATAAGCGAGAGCATGACTCCAGGTGGAGCAGGATGGCCGGCAATTCCAGGTGGTGGCCGCATGTCGGTCGGGGGTGGGGGTGGAGGGAACCGAGGAAGTCCAGGAGGTAATACATCATTATGCAAAGTTGAGACCATGGCAGCTCCAGGAACTGAAGGCTGTTGCCTTGGAGGTGGCGGAGGTGGCGGTGGCAATCTAACATGATCTTTTGTCTCTGAGGAAGCTTTAGCATCAGATTCAACAGATGTGCCATCTGACTTCAATGGCAAGCCCAGTGGAGGAGGAGGCTGAGCAAGCACAGTGGACCCATGAAAAAGCGAAGAGATCATCAATAGAAAATAAACATTATATACATCTTCATGAATTCCAAAGAGGAACTCCCTCAAACATATATTTTAATTAAGTTAGTGAGAAGACAAGATGTAGAAGGCTAGACTACCTGCATTAGTTCTACGGAAGCTGGATTGTCCAGGTTATTTCTATCCCTTTCACTTCCACCAGTGCCGGGAGGAGGAGGTTGAGCAGATGGCTGAAGGGGAGGTGCAGGAGGTGGAGGAAGTGGAAGATGAACAGCAACCTGTTCCTTTGGTGGGGGGCCAGGAGGTGGTGGGGGCAAAGGAGGCAGTGGCAATGAAGTGCTCATCTCTGTCACAGGCTTTGGGGGCATAGGAGGTGGAGGAGGTAAAGGTAAAGATGCAGGCATCGCAGACACATCCACAGAATCTGCATCACCACTCTGGGGTAATGGAGGTGGTGGAGGTGGTGGAGGAAGAGTTGATAAGCTGCCATCTTCTCCATCCAACTGTAACGATGATGCTGTACCGCTTGATGAAGCCACAGATAATGGTACTCGAGATCCTGTAGTTTGAAGCATGAATAGAATCAGAGAGACACATACAGAAAGCAACATTAAGCTCACTAGAGAAGTGAATTATACACACCAATTGATGACTTAAACATAGGAGGTTTTCCAGGAGGAGGAGCTCCAGTTGGATTTAGAGTGGGGTGATAGTAGACTGAGTCCTGCAACCACATATTTCCAGCTGTGATTCACAGATCAGCACTAGCTAATTCCACATAAATGTAGGAGTTAAGTGAAAACTTACTTCAGGTTTTGGATGCTTGGCCATTTCTTCCTCTTCAGCAGAGGTCCGCCTTCGAGGAGGGCCCAAGTGACTGTTGGAGAAAGTTGAGACAAGAGAACTAAGTATAGAAGAGAGTAATTTCTTGATCTTAGGGGTTTGGTGGGGCTGAGGATCGAAAATACATAAATTAGAAACGGACGGCCTTTTTTTTACCTAAACATAACTGGCTGTTCGCCCTTTTCTTTCAGTTTTTCTTCATACTCCTGCCAAAAAGCAAAGCTTTAGAGTGAGTAACAAATACATCCAATCAAACTATAGAATCAAAAGGCTTAGAAGCTGATACAAGAACATGAGAAGAGTTCACCAGTTGCCACACAATGGAGAAAGCAGAAACATGACATGAAAAGGAAAGATATGCCCAAGTAAAACATATTAACTGAGAAGGAAGGTTATATTTCAACCATCTTCCTGTAGAGTCTAATTAAACCACTCAATGCAACCAGCTCATCTAGAAAGCATCTTTTATCTCTCTCTCGAAATCAGCCTCGTTCATGACTCTTTTGATCATTATGAACAGTTGTTTATGATAAGCAAGAACTTTTTCTTTTTTTTTTCTTTCTTGTTAGAGGGGTGATCAAAGAAAGGGGAAGGGTCATATAAATATCAAGAAAATCAAATAGAGAAGCTATGTGTCATGGAATGACTTGTTTTTTTTTTCTAGAGCTGTATGGATTTTCAGTAGAAGTTAGAAGTTGCTTTGCACAGTAACTATATAAGAAATATATCAGAAACTTCTGCCTGAACCATAGCACTGATAAAATAGGCAAAAAGGGAAAAAATGAGAACCTACTCCAAGTCTCCGAGAAGTTAAAAGGTTAAAGATGTCCAAAGTAGTCAACAGCAACAAGAAAGGTGGAGAAGGCAAGTTTCACCTAAAAATACATGATAGCAGTCTCCTTTTTCCAGCCTTTCCCTCATTAAAATTCAAGAGCACCTAGGATGCCCAAAAAAGAAAAGATTCTCTAGGAAACCGAAATCAAATCTACCCCTCTCTGAAGGTGTTGGCACTTCATATAGAGCTAGAAATGCGACATATTGATATCAAAAACTTGTGATACAACTTGATGTTATGTTTAAATGAGATTTCTTCTGTTTCACTTCAAATATATATTGCTAAAAGAAATTTTTTGAAAAAAAAGAAGAGAGAGATTCAAGACGAGAATAGAATGATGGAGAGATCATTTTAGCCAATTACTGTTGAAGTTAGAAGTAGGGGCGTGAGAAATTTGGACATTTAGACTTCCAGAAGAGTCCAAAGCAATAACTCTTGACCATATGCTTTTGAATTTAGAGAAATCTATGTTCCTAACCATTCTCAAAAAAAAAAAAGATTTAGAGAAACGTATGTGCTCAAGCTGGTTCGGACATTACCGTTATCAGAAAAATTAGATAAACCTGTCTCATTTTGACTTCCATATAGCAAAACCGTTTTTCTTTGGGGAACAATCGAAAATCCCTTCGTAAACAATGTTATTTTTAAACAAAACACCGGAAAAGGAAACTCCCATCGGAAAAGAAAATGAAAGATTGACATTTCTTCACTCCAGTTCCATGCAACAATTAACCTACCTAAACTTGCCCATCCCCACTTTTCCCTTGCTCCCACAATAAATTTGAAAAAAGCAAAAGGGAAAACGTTTAAGGGCATTCAAGTATAAATGAGATATTAGTGACGCAGTTCTTTTGAGTTTCTCGAAAAGCACATTATTTCCAACAGGCTATGTTGGTTCATCCACAAAGAAAAGAATGGTTTTGTCAGATAAAACTAAAACTAAAGTGGATTTTGGTAATACGAATATCTCCCTCCCTCCCCTCCTTTTTTCTCGAAGAACAGTGGTAGCTCTCTTTTACTAAGAACTAAAACTCTATCAAATGGCTCTTTCATTAATCCCCAAAAAAAATGACAAGATTGCTAATGCTTCTTGTAAATTCTTGTATGGTACGTCTGTGAAACCATTCTCTTGGATCCTCAAAGTAATAAGATATAACACTCGGGTAAGATTTGACCACCAGTCTCAAGATCAAGTCTCTTAACTAGCTCAGCAGCTCATGATCTAAATTTGTTCTCTGCCACTTCAATGGGCATCCACAACGTCCTAAGCCTAAATTTAAACAATAAGCTTTCACGTGTTTAAAGTTGCGAGCTGCACCAATCTTACAGTGAATTTTGTTAGGAGTTTTCGCATACGAGTATAAATTTAACACAGCATTCTACACGAGAAGAACCAACCTTCCCACGAAAAACCAGATGACAGTATCAATTTAGAAGCACCAAATAATTTGCGGTAGAATCAACTCGTTATGCAATGTTTTTCAGCATGGGTTACATTGATTAGCCCCCTTTTTTTTTGATAAGGAGGTTACATTGATTAGCCCATTACTTCTTGATCAGTTCAATTGGCCTGTTATATGATCGGGAAAGAAAGACACCTAACCTATGTTGTGCGGGCTCTCCAAAATGTAGCCGCACCCATGTCGGATCCTTCAAAAATGCACTACATTTGAAGGATCCGACACGTATCCGGCCATATTTTCGGAGAGTCCGAGCAACATAGCACCTAACATGGAGAGGCTAGCTCAGTGCAAATAAATAGCTGTGGGACCCCGAGCAGCCTTTTCATAACAACTAAATATTATATTACTTGCTTATCTTACCAATGGAACATACCTCAAACAGTACCCAGAACAAGATAAGGATTGAAGGAATACCTATTCTTACAGAGTAGATCGAAGTACAATCTAAAGAAATGGGTGAAAAAAGATATTAATCTACATAATTACAAGTTGCTAATAATCTCCAGCTTACATGCGGTTAACAAAATAGTTCTATGTTCTATCTCCTAAGTTAAGGGAGCATTAGTATGGGCATTAACTTATCAGACAAGGTCATTGAGGCATGCATACTAAAAGAAGCAGCAATATAGAATTAGCAGGCATGGCATACAACAAATTTCCTAATGCAGGGACCTTATCTTCAACGAGCATACCTGAGGAATCTACATGTATTTTCTATATATTCATCCTAATAAAAGCACCAGGCACACAAATTAATATTACCTTTCTCTTTTTGAGAACAAGATTAAGTGTATCCTCAAGTTGTCTCTTTTTATGTTTCCTTGCTTTGTCTAGAGCTCCCTCCGCCTCTGCGTAAATTGATTACATTCAATTAAATTAAGATTTTAACAAACCAGAAAGGTTCAGAACATCACAAATCATAATACAAGCTCAACCTTATTCTTTTCTTGATAGACAGTGCAACAGTTTCTTCTTATGTCACTTTATTGGCTGAACAAAGATGCATGACGAATAAACTAGTCCATCCACAGCCGGACAAGATTTTATTTGCCGAGTAATAGCATCAAAGGATGATATTTTTTGATAAGTAATAAATGCATGGAAGGATGAAAGTAGCTATTCAAAATGTCATCCACCCAACCCTTTTCCTGGTTGACCCAGAGGTAGGTTCCAGCAAGAAAACCTCAAATTTTAAGTAACGAACAATAATCAATATGGATTGTGTTACCGTAGAAGTAAAGAAAAAACGCAATGCAACTAACAGTATAACAAACCAACAGTGAGTGTACTATTGGCTAGTTATCAGGCTGTATAACCTAGTATTCTACAAGAAGATAGGATTCAATCTGCTCACCACAATCCTATTACTACCACTAAGATAATCAAAAAAAATACCTTGCACTACACCATTCCCATCAGCTATAAAGTTTTCAGTTCAATTAACAAAACACAACTAAAAAACTATGAGACAACTAAAAACTATGTAAAAAAGTAAACCAATTAACTCAAGATGACAACAGGTCCATTGTTATATTACTGCTAGTAGCCACTCCTTAGTTACTCATGAACTTTTCTAAAGTACTTCTTCTAGCTTTAATTAATCCACTTCAGATTATTTCCTACTTCTGTCCTTCCTCTCCTTATTGCTTTTATTATACTGAAAACGTGATGAATAGGCATTACCTTATAATTCTCAGTCTTTCTTCAATGCCACTCAAAACAATCTCCAGAGTTATCAACATCAACAGAAATGTTAAGCGCAAGAGCATTTTATTCAATTACAAATGATCCAAAAAGAAAGAGCATTTTATTCAATTATATAATATAATAAGAAGTATCACAGAGTTCAAATGCAGCAACTTATCCAAAGAAAAGAATTATATGTGGAACAACTTACTCATCACTTCTAGTTTCTGAATCTGATCTTTTAGTTGGTCAGGATCCTTCTTCAATATACCCACTTCTCTCACTTTCTTCCTCTCTTTCTTGTTCTGGGAAATATAAAAAACAAAAATAAATAAATCCTACATAAACCCCACCTAATAACTTGTTATGGGATATTCAAACAAACAGCTCTTCCTTAGAACCGTCCCTCAATATTCCTTCTCTTTCCAATAGATGTCTCATAAGACTCAAAGCTTAATTGTGCGTACATAAAAACGTAAAATATGCAAGTAAAAACAATAGGCTTCAAGGTTATGTTCACCAAAGCATATAAGCAAAACAATTAATCTGACCCCCCCCCCCCCCACAACCCCAAAAACAAATAATGAAATTTTGCAATTAGCTGCACAATAGAATGGGCACACCACTATATGCATTGGCACACGCTTCTCCTAAGCACGCACTATATGTGTCCCCAAATGCAGTTAAAAGAGGGGCAAGGGGTTCATCATATTGCCCCCTGGATGTGATGGATTATAATTTCCTAAGTGAAATAGCAGCAAGTGATTCATATACTAAAGCCTAAATGAATCCTCAACCTATTCTGCTCTATTTGTCTATTAAGACAAATTATTGAGTATTAGAGTGAAATGACCCCAAATGATTCATTAGTCATTTTTGAAGACAAATTATTGAGTATTAGAATAAAAGACCCCACTGAATTCCGAACAAATATAGATTATTCATATCATTTCCATTGGCGAAGCCAGGATTTTATATAAAGAGATTCAAAAGAGTTAGAATGTGGCGGTTGGGATTTGAACCTGAGACCTAAAGCAACTTTATTGCTACACTAAAAAATTTCCCAATGTCAAGGGGATTCAACAACTTATATATGATCAAAAAAAAAAAAAAATCATTGAAGTTGAACCCCTTTCCATCCACCTAGTTCAACCACTAATTCGTCACTCCAACTAATGTTGTAGTAGTCATTGAACTATAGATAACTCTAAGGGAATCTGTTAGTATATCAGTTAAAGTCCAAAAAAATTTACTCTTTTTAAGACAAATTATTGAGTAATAATGAGACTACCCCCAATTGATCCATTTTTTAATTTATTGAGTATTCATGTAGTCGCCCTCAACTAGTACAGGCACAGTAAAAGTTGTTTCATGTACACTGTAAATAACTCCAAAGGAAGCTATTAATTGAGATAAAAATATACCCTTTTCAATTCCCTTTTGCGTTGTTCCTTGCGATAAGCGTCGGTAGGGTTCATGACTTTGCCTCCTTTCGTCGTCTTCATTTTGCGCTGCTGCTTTTTCGATCACTATTCTGCGTTATTGAAAGTCGCTGTGATAATTCGGTTCCGAGGCTAAACTCAGGGGCCGGAGGGTAGAGAATTCCGGTGGGTCTTTTCGGATTACCTAAATTCTGGTTATGCGGACCCGGTTTTGATGATGGCTCTACTTGGATGTTATATTCCGGATCCTTTCCTCCTCTTTAATACTAGTAACTCGTAATTCAATAATCCGTTAAAGGGCCAAAAATACCTCTCTACTATTATAAAATAAGCTATATTTACCCTGGTTTCACTTTTGTGTTATTAAAGTCCCTGCCGTTTTACTTTAATTTTTAAAATGCCCTTCAGCCGTTAGTTTATTAGTAGAATATTAATTAATACACGTATAAATATCCTATTGGTCTAAAATCATCCGCCCCATATCTAATTAAAAACTAGCCGACCCAACCCTTTTAACCCGACCCACCCCTTTTAACCCGACCCACCCCAGCCCCTCTAACTTAAATCCTCTTAGTCACCCCCCTCAAACCTAAATCGATCTGCAAAACTCAGAGAAGAAGCCATTTTAGGGTTCTTCCACAAAATAGGTTGGGTGCTCCAATTTCACTCACTCTCGCCTTATCTATTGTCCGAAAACTTGATATGTCGGAAGGCAGTTGTTCATCGAAGAGGAAGTGTCTTTGTGGAGAAATTGCTAACAATTTTACGTCGACGACTCCTTTAAATCCTGGGAGGAGATTCTATAAGTGCCCTAAACCAGAAGTAAGTGATCATATATAGGTCTTGTTTGAATTTTTCTTGTTTTTGACTGATTCGTTTCGCTGATGTTCATAAGTAATTTTTTCGGATTATTTTTTAGGGTAGTTCATGTGGTTATTTGGAATGAGAAGAGGACCCTGTCCCGGACAGAGCGCTCGTTATAATCAACAATTTGAAGTGTGAGTTGGATGTGGCTAAACTTAAAATCAGTAATTTGAAGTCGTTGTTGGATGATGGCAAGATTGAAAGGGACAAATTGAAGGAAAAAGTAGTTGCGATGAAGGCAAGAAATAATCTTCTAGTAACGAAACAATTGGAGTTGGAAGATAGAATTCTCAAGATGAAGATCTTCATTATGATTTCATGTGCGCTATTTGTAGGATTTATTGCTGCTATTATCAAAAGTTGAAGTTGAAGTTGAATTGGGAATGAACAGTGAAAGTTCTTTTCTTGTAGATGTGTTGTTTCTCATGAATATTTGCAGCTAAATATCGGATTATGTATTTTAAGCCTTAACTTTTTGTATCTTACTTTTTGTAACTTGTTTAAGCTGTATATCGGATGATGTATCTTACTACTTAAATCTATTTGTTCCTACTTTTGATTATGACTGGTTATAATTGGCAGTTAAACCTTGCAATGTTATAAAGTTTGGTTCTTTGGAAGCTTAAAAAGTGATGCCTTAGGGATGAATGCAGCACCCTATATCAATCACTAAATAAAGGCTAAATTTACAGCTGAACATATGCTGAAGACAACCATATGCTTATATTTTGAAGACAGCCTAATATTCAATGTATTCAATTGCTGAACATATATCTCCCTATATCATAAATGCACATGGCATATTCAATGTATCAAATAACTGAACATATGTTGAAGACAACCTAATAGACAACAGCATGTAAATAAAGGCTAAATTTCATAAATGCACATGGCATATTCAGTTTCATAAATGCACATGGCATAGGTGGATGCAATGTTATAACCCCAAAAACTTATACAACCTGGGTTATAATATGGCATCCCACATTAAGTTTCACCAACCAAAAATAGAAGGTAGATAGTACTGTCACAAAGCAGTAATTACATCCAAAATACTTTCCACCTTATTATATTACAGTAGATTTTACTTTTTCCCCTTTCTGGGCTTCAGCTTCTCCATTTTCTGTTTACTTTGCATTTCCAGCTGGCTTCCCGTTAATGCAGCTTTTCCCTTCCATCTACGGCCTGGTGGTTTGAATGGCAGATTTGATGGAACACTAACACCATCATGATCCCCTTTGAAAGTTATTGCCCTTGATCCTGAAGGTTGAGATGGATTTTGCCTTGCTTGAAGTCTTGTTCCTACTTCTTGTTGATACCCAATTTTTTTCTATATATATTTTATATGTAAAGTACCCTCAAAATGGCATGTATGCATATATAAGTATATCCAAGTGTTTCCTTATTTTTCCTTAATTTTAAAAGATTTTTAAATCAATTTATCCCCCTATTTTATCCATAAAAATTCAATAATTATTTCTAAAATTATTACTTTGGTAATTCATCTGTTGAAATTTTATATTTATACTAAGATATGGCTAAGATAATTTTTGCATATTTTTTACAAATTTAGTTAGTATTTTTAAGCTAAAGTGCATATAATTGCAATATTAGCCCCTTTTTTAGATTTAATTATGTTTTATATTCATAAAATTAGATATGGTATTTTTAAATAGTTAATTATGTGCTATAAATAATTTTAGTACCTTTAATTTATTTCCAAAAATTATTTTATTATTTTTATAAATCAAATGGAGAAAATGGCTATTTAAAATCTAGCCAGATTTCATTTCAATTATGGCCTAAATTCTACCCCAATTTAAACCCAATTTACCCCGACCCAATTCCTACTCATACCCGACCCCAACCCAGTTAAGATGACCATACCCGGATCCCCACCTAACCCTTTTAATCTCAGCCGTTGATCTAAAATCCTGTTAAGATGACCCATACCTGGATCCCCACCTAACCCTTTAAATCTCAGCCGTTGATCATTTAGATCAACGGCCACCGGCTGCCCTTTCCTAATTAAACCCGAAAGACCCCCCAAACCTTATTCATTATTCACAATCCGCCGCCCTTGAACTCTTCTTCTCTCCCAAATCCTCTCTACAACAACCCCAAACCCTAGCCGACGCCACCCTAATCCACCCTAATCCATGGCCTTTCGAGGTCATCGGAGACCTGTACCAGCCTTCCATGGCTTCTACGTGTTTAGTTCTGTGGTCTCATGACTAGACTCTGAAGGGGCTTGGTCCAGTCTTTGCTCGATGACCTTTCTCCTGTCATCTCAGACCTTTCTCCGGCCAGCTATGGCCATTCGAGTCAGACCTTTGACTCTCCTGTTTAGATCAGTAACTTTCGAAGCCTCTCTCACCTTTTCTGGGTTCTTCTGAAACCCTAATCTCTAAGACCTTTTCAACTTCTTTCAGGTTTACCTTAGATCCATGCTTGCTATGAGTTTTTAAACGCATTCTCGAAGCTTCTTTAATTTTGCTTTCAAAAAAGACTGTTCATCTTCTCCTATTAGGGTTTTCTTCTAAATTATTTGAAACATCTTCTCTGATCTTAACGTGTTTCTGATTTTATTATGTTTTGCTCTGTCATTCTCCTATCTGAGTTTAGCATGTTAAAAACCCTAATTTCTTTTGGGTTCATTCGAGTTTCTGAGACTATTTGCTAAATATTTGTTTGATTTACTTGTTTACCATCTTCGAACTCGATTGATGTTGAAAACCCTAATTTCTTTGGGTTCATTCGAGTTTTTGAAACTGCTTGCTAGTATTTGTTCGATTTATTTGTTGTTAAGCTTGCTACTGTTAAAGAAAAACCTATGTCTTTGGGTTTGAAATTGCCCGTTTGAATACCTGACTTGATTTGAAGTTCCTTTGTTTCAGCATCTCTTTTCTTTATGTGATTCCTCTGATTCTGGGTTCTTACTATCTTTGAAACTCGATTATGCTTGGAAACCATAACTTTTCTGAAGTGTTTTCTCATCTGTTACTGTGACACCCTTTGCATGCTTCTGATACTCTATTTTTCTTTGCTACTGATTCAATGAGACTTGACCTACTTGACTACATGCTTCGAATGATTGCTATCTACTGACTTTGCACTACTATTGCATGCTGTTTATTTTGCCAATAGTTTGGCCTCGCATGTCTATTGTTTGTGCACTCTATTTATATGCTGAGGTTCCTTCTTTAATTGATTCTCAATCTTGGGACTGATTTCAAAACTTCTCTTTTGTGAACTCTAATTTCACTCGCCTGTTAAAGTAATTGATCCCTTTCCTTATTATTGCCTTGCTGAATCTTTTCCCCAAAACAAGTGTATCTCTGTACTTGGACTCGATTGCTTACTTAATGTTTTACTACTTCTTTTGATGGTAATAATCAGTCTGCCTACAAACTGATTTTCTTTCCTTCTTTTGAACCTGTTAGCCCCGTTAAACAAGTGATTCCTCAATTAAAGGGGAATCACTTGGTTGATTGATTCTGACTATTGATTATTTCCATATTTGCATGGAACTTTACTTATTACCTTACTTCTCACATGTTTTCAAAAGCTATAAATACCCTGCACCCCTCTTCTTTCAAAGTCACGAACACAAGGAATAAAATACTTGAGTTCAGACACACACTCCACTAAAATCTCACTCTTTTCTCTGTTGCTACTTGTATTGCTGCCTTACCTAGCCGGCTGAAAGCCAAGGCTAGGCTGTGGGAAGCTTGCTTACTTTTTCTCTGCATTTGCATCTTTACTGGTATGTTCTAACTAATTTTCAACATCAACAACAACATGTTTCTTTACTATTTCCTTCACCCTTGTTTGTTTCCTATTTGTGTTTAGTAAGGTCCCATTATTATGGCTGTAATCTGCCCCTTTCTATTCTGAATTAATGCTCTCTTATGAATTCTGTCAGTCATTTATTATGGTTTATGAATCCTAAACCCCCATCCCCTATGTGTTTGATATCTTTGGTTGGTTTGGGGCATGACATCATTGGACATTGCTGTGCATGACCCAAACCTGATCCCCTGGGATCATAACCTCCCTATCCCCTCTACATGTTGTGTGTTCTGGTTGGTTTATAGGCATGCTAGCACCATCTATTGCTGTGCATGCCTAAAACTGATCCTTGCCTAATGATATATGCTTTTTGCAATGTATTCCCAGTCCCCCTGACCCCTGTGTATGAAAATTATTAACTCTATGCTTTACTACTATTGTTTTCCCATCACCCTTTATCCCTCTCCTTTACCCCTTCAGTTTTTAAATCTCCATTCCTGCACTTCCACCATATTCTTAAACTTAAGTTCTGCCCCTCTTGTGTGAGCCTTGCCTTGGGACCCATGAGCTCCCTCTAAACTTGGACACACAAGGGTTGGCC